CACGACTGAAACAGTTTCTAATCAATCAACCGCTCTTCCTAGTACTTCAATCGCTCAAATTCCAAGTGCTAAGTTGCCATTTATAAAAATTCCAACTTTCGACGGAGATCCTGAAAAATGGCTTCCATTTAAAAATCTTTTCGCTTCATTAATAAGTGCTAGTACCTCGTTATCTGAGGTTGAAAAATTACAATACTTGAAAACTCATCTCTCGGGGTCAGCATTCGATTTAGTTAAGCATACAGCTTTGACTGCTGAGAATTTCAAACAGACTTGGGATTCACTCACCGAATTTTTTGAAAATACGAGACTATTAGTCAATACCACTATTCAATCCTTTCTCAATCTTAAACGAATGACAAAGGAATCCGCTGCTGAACTTCAACAACTTTATTCAAATATTACACAACTTTATCGTACACTCGAAACGTTAGAACGACCTGCTGAACAATGTGAAGATTTCATAATATTAATTAGTGCGCAAAAGTTAGATGCCGAAACCAATAAATTATGGGAATCTCATTTAGGCTCAACAAGAAAGCCTCCTACATGGAAACAGTTCAAGGAATTTTTATTCTCATGAATGTCATCTTTACAGTCTTTTGAAAGGTCTCAGCAGAAAAGGTCATTGCAACCAACTAAACCAAATTCGGTTCAAGTTCACCATCAAAGTAAAGTAAACGGTAATCAAAAGTCACTTTGTATTTTATGCAAAGAAAAGCATTATATCTCTTTTTGTCCTAGATACACTTCAAAAACGATACAACAAAAATTAGCTATTGTCTCAAAACATAAACTTTGTTATAATTGCTTGGGAACGCACCGAGTTTCGAATTGTCGAGTAACCAAACGTTGTCAAAAGTGTGGCCGGAAACACCATACTACAATTCATCAAGCAAATACATTTAAGTCAAATAACAAGGATAACACGGATAATAAGATCTCTTCTGCTGACACTTCAAGTAAACCTGAAGCAAAGGTTTTACATTCTTCCAGGGATATGTTTGCTGGATCTTCAATTTTATTAGCTACAGCTAAAGTTATTATCGTATCCCCGTCAGGGCAATTAAAACAAATCAGAGCGCTTATTGATCAAGGTTCAGAAGTTTCAATTGTAACAGAAAGAGTTGTCCAACAACTCAAATTGCCTCGACGTCATTCATCTACTTCGTTGATAGGAATTGGTGCACAAAAGGATAATAAAACTAAAGGCATAACATCATTCGTATTCAAGCCACATTTTCAATCAGATTTCGAAATGCAAATAGATGCTTACATTTTGCCGAAATTGACCTCTTCACTTCCTTCTCTTTCGCATGATAGGGATGCATGGTTGCATCTGAATAATCTTAAATTAGCCGATCCAACATTTAATAAGCCAGGTTCCATCGACCTAATAATAGGGGCTAACGTGTACCCTCATATCATAGAAGAAGGTATAGTAAGAGGAGAGCCTGATACGCCTATCGCTCAATTAACCAAGCTTGGTTGGATTGTATCCGGGTTAGCTAGCCTTCGTAAAATTAGTTCTCACGCTCAAGGTTATCACGTTTCAGTTAATGAGGATCTTCATGATCTCCTTAAAAAATTCTGGGAGACGGAAGAAGTTTCAGTTTCGAATAAGACTTTATCTAAAGACGAACAAGACTGCGAAGACCATTTTGTAGCTACACATTCTCGTGACGCAAACGGTAGATATATCGTCAAACTTCCATTTAAAGATTCCCCGAATAAGTTGGGAAATTCAAAGGCTAAAGCCATTCGACAAATGACTAACTTATATCATAAACTTTCCAATAACGATACTCACGCTCAATTGTATAAAGATTTTATTAATGAATACGAAGCATTAGATCACATGAAAAGAGTCAAGGATACGCAAAATGAACCGGATCTAGTATACTATCTTCCTCACCATGGTGTTTACCGGGAACATAGTCTCAGTACTAAATTACGAGTCGTCTTCAACGGCTCCAGTAAAACAACTACCGGCTATTCAATAAATCAGATTCTTCATTCGGGAGCAAAATTGCAACTCAATTTGTTTAACGTTCTTATCTGGTTCAGATTATTTCGATACGTATTTTTCGCAGATATTGAGAAAATGTACAGACAGATACGAATACATCCAGACGACTGGGATTTTCAAAGGATTGTATGGATTGATTTCTTAGGTAAACTTATTATATTTATTCTTCTCACCGTTACTTATGGTTTGAATTGTGCGCCATTTTTAGCTTTACGTGCATTCGAACAGTTGATACGTGATGAAGGACACAAGTTTCCTTTAGCTATTCCAACGATGAAAAAGGGAAGGTATGTCGACGACTTCTTTGGAGGGGAAGATACGATACAGAACGCTCGTAGGGTCGTTGAGCAAGTAAATAGTCTCTGCATGGCGGGCGGTTTCCCGTTAAAGAAATGGGTCAGCAACGAACCAGACATTCTCAGCTCCATTCCTGTCGATCTACGACTTGATAAGGCATCAATTCAAATAGAAGAATCCTCTATAATACATACCCTAGGGTTGTCATGGCATCCATCCATTGATCAATTTAGATTTACGTTGAATCTTGACGAGCCAAAATTAATCTCCAAGCGTACTATTCTCTCGACAATTTCAAAAATCTTCGATCCATTAGGATTTATTTCACCTATTACCATTTCTGGCAGAATTCTCATTCAGGAATTGTGGGCTAGTGGACTCGGTTGGGATGACGAACTTCCTACGGTCCTTCTTAACAAATGGAATCGATTCATATGTCAATTACAAGAAGCATCCAGTTTCACATTCCCGAGATGGATTGGGTTCAATTCGACCGATTCATTTGAATTACATGGATTTAGCGACGCATCTCAGAATGCTGCAGCAGCAGTGGTTTACTTACGTGCTTGTTCTACTGATCAATCTGTTACCATCACTCTTGTAGCGTCGAAGACAAAGGTTGCGCCTTTAAAAAGATTAACTATACCACGACTTGAACTTATAGCAGCTGTATTACTTGTTAAATTAATTCAGTCAATTCTTTTTACTCTAGAAAAGCCTAATTTACCAGTCTTTGCATGGATAGATTCGCAAGTGGTTTATCAATGGATTACCAATCATCCTTCTCGATGGAAGGAGTTTGTACATAACAGAGTTGTTTTTATTCAGGATACTTTGCCGCAATGCAAGTGGGGTTTAGTCCCAGGTGTACAAAATCCAGCAGATTTAGCTACAAGAGGGATTTCTCCCTCACAATTAAATGAAAGTTCCATGTGGTGGAGCGGTCCTGAGTGGTTGTCAAGCCCTAGATCTGCGTGGCCACAAATCTCTTCATCCCTTATTTCTGAGAATTTAGAAGAACGCGAACACCGAATTTGTGTTTTTGTAACTAATAAGCATCCGGAAGTTTGGAATCTTCTCACAAAATACTCGAACCTTACTAAGTTATTACGAATTACAGCCTTATGTCGAAAATTCATTCGTAAAGCTCATAAAGATACTAAATCCGAATTAACTCCTTTTCTTTCAGTCAATGATATCAATAATGAGAAATATTTTTGGATCAAAATTGTTCAACAATTTTCATTCTCACCAGAGCTTAAAATTCTATCGCAAGGACATTCACTTCCTAAATCGAATCCCTTGACTAACCTTGCTCCTTACATAGATTCAAATGGACTTCTACGAGTAGGTGGACGACTTCAACAATCATTACTTTCGAACGAAGCAAAACATCCTTTCATACTACCTAAAGAATCTGCTTTTACTACTTTGATTATAGACGATGCACATTCTCGAACCCTCCACGGAGGAACTCAGCTTACGCTGTCATTCATTCGACAAACTTATTGGATCATTAGAGGTCGGATACCGGTAAAGTCTTTTATTCTAAAATGCGTCAAATGTACTAGATTTCGGCAACAGCGAGCTCAGCAACTTATGGGTCAACTTCCTGTTGAAAGAGTGGTTCCCGCTAGACCATTTCTACATTCAGGTGTGGATTACGCTGGTCCGTTTACAATTAAAACTTGGAGAGGAAGGAACGCTAAAACCTATAAAGGTTACATTTCATTATTTGTTTGTTTAGCAACTTCTGCGATTCACTTGGAACTTGTTACCGATTACACATCTGAGGCATTCATTGCCGCATATAGACGATTCATTTCCAGACGCGGTATCTGTGCTACTCTCACTAGTGATTGTGGTACTAATTTTCAGGGAGCAGATAAAGAACTCAAACGATTGTTTTCTGCCGCGTCTGATGAGTGGAAACATATATCATCCAGTTTGCTCAATAACGGCACTCAATGGAAATTTAACCCTCCTTCGGCGCCTCACTTCGGAGGAAAGTGGGAGGCAGGAGTTAAATCAGTCAAATACCACTTAAAGCGTACAATAGGGGATACTTTACTAACCTATGAAGACATGTCTACTCTTCTATTCCAAATTGAAGCTGTTCTGAATTCACGCCCTCTATGTAGGTTGTCTGATGATCCCGATGATCTGTCCATTTTAACACCAGGACATTTTCTTATAGGAGAAGCGCTTTCGACCCTTCCTGAACCTTCTCTATCACTAGTTCAGATTTCTCATTTAAACAGATGGCAACTGTTGCAACAGAAACTCGAAAATTTCTGGTCACATTGGTCTAAAGACTATCTTCAAAGACAACTCTCAATCTACAAGTGGAACCAAGTTAATCCTTCGATAGCTGAAGGAACCGTAGTTTTGATTGTTAACGATAATTATCCACCTTCTAAGTGGCCACTTGGACGAGTCATAAAAACCCATCCGGGACCTGATGGTCATACGCGAGTCGTAACAGTTAAGACTCAATTCTCTGAACTTCAACGACCTATTACCAAGATATGTCCTCTTGATGTCAATCAAACTCAGTTGTAACTTGTTCGTTAATTACAGTTAACGAAGGCGGGCGGAATGTTGGAAATACAGGAGATGTCGATAACTTTTGGATATGGCTACAGC